AGCAATTCAGAGAGGAAGATTAATGAAATACTTTCAGGTTATTGACTTCATATATCTAGCTGCGTTGATTGATTTGATGAAATAAGTATACTGTAGGTGCGAATACTGATAGGGTATTTTTTTTTTTTCAGCCTATGATTTCTCTAACTCAAATGAGAACAATTTTAATGTAAGCATATGGTACAATTCAACCTTTAAGAATGACACAGGCAGTGCTCCTATTGCTTTGATGCGTCTTCCACGCTCGGTGAATCTGGTAATGTATCTATAACTTGTTTATTTGTTCAGCGCTCTATTCTGCTACCGATTCCAGTATCTGCACTAAATGACTTCAAAATAATAAGTGCTAACGTTTGTGTTCGCAGGCATCCAATGCATACCTTCAGTCTGTACAAGGATCTAGTATGGAGATGCTGTTTGAGTTTGTGAAAGAAATGCCCAAGCCTGAAACCAAACTCAGGCTGGATTTTTCTTCTCTTCTTGGTACACTCTTCTTTACATGGGTCATTTTACAGCTGTTCCCGGTAAGTACATGAAGCTACTTCTTCCATATTAGGACTTTCTCAAGTCTATCAGTCCTGTTTGTTGACATTGATTCTGCTAAATTTACGTCTTTTAATTTCAATATCTCGTCATTTGGATTTTGGATTTACAATGTTAAGGAACCTCCTTGTCTTCTCTTGTCATTTGGAGATGATATTTCAGTATATTCAGTTGTAATATATTTGTAAATGCGTCTTCTTTGTTCCATCTTGTCCTGTATGTTACAGAGAAATGCTGATCTACGATACACACACTTATAGTTTCCCTTTCTTGCCCAATTCTGATGTAGGTTGTTTTGACGTCACTGGTATACGAGAAACAACAAAAACTGAGAATCATGATGAAAATGCATGGGCTCGGTGATGGACCTTATTGGATGATTTCTTATACTTATTTTTTTACAATATCTTCAATCTACATGCTGTGCTTTGTTATATTTGGCTCGGGTATAGGTAAGAATACGAATACTCAGACAACTATCTCAGCATGGATTTACTTCGATTCTTTTAACGAAGTTGACTTCATTACAGGGTTAAAATTCTTCTCAATGAATGACTACAGCATCCAATTTGTATTTTACTTCATCTATATAAACTTGCAAATATCGCTGGCTTTTCTAGTAGCTGCATTGTTTTCAGACGTGAAGACTGCTGCAGGTTTGATGGTGTTTATTTATATTCGTTTGAAAAGCAGTGGGTTATTCTCAACTTTGATCTAACAAGATGAGTTGACTGACATGCTTCTCATGTTTCCTGTTCATAACAGTTATCGGTTACATATTTGTCTTTGGAACTGGGCTTTTGGGAGGCTTTCTTTTTCAATTTTTTGTTCAAGATACATCATTCCCTAGTAAGTGAAAATATTTGTGAAAATGAAGTATCTGTTGCTTTGATGTGTTTGTTACCGTGAGAACAATTTAATGTCGAAAACTTATAGTATGCAACATATCTTGTACTTCTCAAAGCGAGATCCTTAAAATATTATTTTGCATTGTTGTAGGAGGTTGGATCATCGTTCTGGAATTATATCCCGGCTTCTCTCTATATCGTGGGTTATATGAGTTTGCCCAATATTCGTTTAATGGAAATTATATGGGGACTGATGGGATGCGGTGGGGAGATTTGAGTGATAGCGATAATGGGATGGCAGAGGTTTTGATTATCATGGTTGTCGAGTGGTTTGTGGTGCTTCTTTTTGCGTATTACGTAGATCAAGCTGTATCATCAGGAACTGGGAAGGGTACCTTCTTTTGCTTCCAACGCTTTAGGAAGAAGAAACTGCCATCCCTTAGGATGCGTAGTTTGCAAAGGCAGGGATCTAAAGTTTCTGTTGAGATGGAGAAAGCTGATGTCGTTCAAGAGGTAACTGTTTCTTGCACTTACATAATCAATCTTCATTGCTGGTATAGTCTTTGGTGATTTAAGGCATCCAATTAACACACTGGAAAAGCCAGTCTATGAAAAAAAGAAGCCAATCTCTATATGGTACAAATTGTTCTAAGAACTTTTCAGATCATTTTGGTGGATAGATAAAATTTCGCCTTAATTGACGCTTATAAGTTTCACTGGTGTTTGCTTCATCCATGCCTGTCATATCTTTATGTTTTTTTTCATCTTAGTCAAGTTGATGTGTCTAAGTTATGCCCATGGATAACGCTAACACTTCCTTTCCAGAGGGAGAGGGTTGAAAAGTTGCTACTGGATTCAGATACAACGCATTCAGTTATCTGCGACAACCTCAAAAAGGTTTATCCTGGAAGAGATGGAAACCCTGAAAAATTTGCGGTGAGAGGGTTGTCTCTTGCTTTGTCTCGAGGGGAGTGCTTTGGTATGCTTGGCCCTAATGGTGCCGGGAAGACCTCTTTTATCAGTATGGTGAGTATACCCTTTTGAACTTTAACTTACGTACGCGAAAATTCCTTTAACGTATTTTTCTTCTGCTGGTGAGGATCATTTGTATGCTACCCAGTATTTTTGTACATCAAGAAATCGCCTTCAATCTTATGCTTTCTTTGTTCATCAAAACTTCAAATATTATATGTATCTATCTATCTGCAGATGATTGGTCTCACAAAGCCAACCTCTGGCACTGCATACGTTCAAGGTCTGGACATCCAGACTCAGATGGATGAAATATACACCAGCATGGGTGTTTGTCCACAGCATGAGTAAGCTGCTGGAACTTTTTTCCTTATGCGTAAGGCAAAATTTTCCTTTAAATATTTCAAACCTGATTAATTTCTTGTTTTTCCGGACATTTCTGTAGCCTGCTATGGGAAACCTTGACAGGAAGGGAGCATCTGTTATTCTATGGAAGACTTAAGAACCTCAAAGGTTCTGTATTAAAACAAGTAAGTAGATATCTAGTAATGTAGAAATAGCTGTCGAAATTATTATTTTGAGAATAATATCTTAAGTTTAATTGATTTGTTTCACGTCCCAATTTTGTTGCTGAAGGCAGTGGAAGAATCTTTGAAAAGTGTCAATCTATTTCACGGCGGGGTTGCAGACAAACAAGCTGGAAAGTACAGTGGAGGCATGAAGAGAAGGCTTAGTGTTGCAATTTCACTTATAGGGGATCCCAAAGTACGTCTTCGTTTTCTGTCAAAGCTACTTTGGTTTGAAAGTTAGTTCTGTTATCCCAAGATGCTGCTCTACTTATTCCATGTTCCTTTACAAATTCCTTGTAGGTTGTTTACATGGATGAGCCCAGTACTGGACTTGATCCAGCTTCAAGAAACAACTTATGGACCGTTGTGAAATGTGCAAAACAAGGCCGGGCAATCATCCTAACCAGTACTCTCTCTCCCTTCCTCCCCTCCAGTTACTGTATTGCCAATTATAAAATTCATGAAGGCTTGGTACTGTATGGAGTAGTGTTAAGTAACAGCATAATGACCGCTTTTGCTTCTGTGTTTACTCATAAAGCTTGTTTGCGTATCTCCAGCACATTCCATGGAAGAGGCGGAGGTTCTGTGTGATCGGTTAGGAGTTTTTGTGGATGGTAGCTTGCAGTGCATAGGAAACCCAAAAGAGGTAATCCTAACTTAGTGTCATAGCACCTGCGTAAGATAGATATCGGATTTTCTAGGTACTTTCTGCATAACACTGTTAACTTATTATAATGGTGTACTCAGCTGAAAGCAAGATATGGAGGATTTTATGTGTTCACAATGACAACATCTTCGGATCACGAGCAAGAGGTGGAGAACATGGTGCGGAGTCTCTCCCCAAGTGCTAACAGGATATACCATCTATCCGGAACCCAGAAGTTTGAGTTGCCAAAACACGAGGTCAGAATTGCAGATGTGTTTGAAGCAGTTGAGAATGCAAAGAGCAGGTTCACAGTTTTCGCTTGGGGTCTAGCCGACACCACGTTGGAGGATGTCTTCATCAAGGTTGCACTTGGGGCTCAAACCTCCATCGAATTGACATGATTGTCATATTTTTACTTTGGAAATACATATTTGGATTTCTTCTGTAGCTTCTGGTACATAAGTAAGTAATGAGTTTTGATTAGTTTATATTGTTGTAAATTACATTCCAAAAAGAGATTTTAAACTATTATATTTGGTAATTTTGTAATTTACAGATTGGATATGTGAGTTAGGCTAATTGGTCATGGTAGTATGCGTAGTTTGAGTTCCCTTTTCCGTATGTTAAAGTAGTTCAGAATATCGCTTTGTCAAGCAAGAAAGTAACCATTTCTGCTATTAGAATGGAAGCCGAAGCTCATAACAAGGTCACTCCGGTGAACCTAGCCCACCACACGTACTGGAATATCCGCGGGCAAAGCAGCGGCGGCATCCTCTCACACAAGATCCAGATTTTTGGGTCCAGGGTCACACCGGTTAATGACCAACTCATTCCCACAGGTGAAACTGTCATTGTCAAAGGAACACCCTATGAGTTCCTTGAGCCCCAAGAAATTGTAAGCAAGATCAATGGGCTGCCTGACGGATATGACATCAACTGTGTGCTTCACCCTTCGAGACTTCGAGTCACAAGCATTTGAGGAAGGCAGCGGCGTTGCATGACAGTGTGTAGGGGCGACAGTTAGAGCTGTGGACCGACATGCCGGGGGTGCAGTTCTATAGAAGTAACATGTTGGACAATGTGAAGGGGAAAGGCGGATCGTGTACAAAAACACGCCGCGGCGTGCTTGGAGACGCAGGGTTTCCCAGATGCTGTGAATCGCCCAAATTTCCCTTCCCGGGTCATCAAACGTGGAGAGACTTATTTACATATTATGCTTTGTAGATTTACAGCTTCCTAGAGCTACTAGCATTTGAGAAATCGAGTAGTTTAAGAGACGCATTTGGAAAAATCGGTCTTAGTAAATTTAGCTCTGCAGAAATTTGTTTGATTACTAGTTTAGCATGTTATGTTGTTAGACAGTCAATTTTATAACGCTAAATAACTCGATTGAGATGTGAAACTTGGGTAGGCAGTTCTGTCGTCAATCCAACAAGGGGAAAGGGTACCAACCAATCCATGCACCAAATTGGCTGGTACCAAAACTCAGCCAGAAAATTTGATACCAAACCTTTCTCCAACAACTTGTACATAAAAAAAAGATAAAGAAAGAAGAACCAAGAAAAGAATATTACATGTCTCAGTGATGGAAAATTCCATACACATCAAGAACATAATCCGCCGATTAATAATCCGATAAGAGTTTGATCACATTATTCTTCAAAGAATTTTCTAAAAACTAGCTACAAAAATTGTCACAAGGATGCAGCGGGCATCTCAAACCGGCACAGCGGGCACAGGTGACTTGTCTCCAGCCAATTCGTTATGCAACTCTCGTGGTAGTCATGCGAGCAAGGCATGCGAATCGATTCACAACCACGCTGCATCTCTTCCAAACATATAACACATTGCTTCCCGCTGACATCGATTTTGACTCTCTCTAGCTCTTCAATTGGTGTACCTTTTGTCCGCGGCACAAACGTTTGGTCGTGGTCCTCCGACAACTGTTCTTGTTCAACTGTTAGTTGCACTACCATCCGAATAGTCTTCCGGTTCTTGTTCTCAGGATCACGGGCGATTTCACGAGCGCGGGTGGAAATCGCCAGGATCATGGACGGCTGAACTTGGTAGGGAACTGACGCCTGCGAAAGCATGTTGGATATTACAGACCAGGATGTTTTGCTCTCGGTTAGAACGTGGCATTGCTCCTTGAAGCTTAGAGGGTACCTTGAAAATTGAGCATACATATCAATCAAGAACTCGGGTTTCGTCGAGGAACTGTCGTCGGCGAGTTCGCTGCCTTCCTGCCATACTTCACAGCGTGCAAAGGCTCGGTTGCTTGACATCTTTGAAGAATAAGAACAAGAAGTAGAGAGAAAGTTATGGGGACAAAGAAAGAAGAAAGTTAAGAGAAAAGCTTAATGGGGGACTAGTAATATACATATTGTGTGTACCTTTTAGTAATTTTAGTCGGATTTGGCTTTGCCAGGCCTGGTGGTTTAAGGAAAGGAGTGACTTCAAAGTTAAGGCAAAACAATGCTATTAGTGTCGTTATGACTGTTATGTCCTTGTCATACTTAACTACTCAAATCTTGTAACTTCTTTTCTTAATAAAACCACATTAAAACCCTAAAGCAACCGAACCAAAAGAGTCAAAGTTAGTATTAAATTTGGAATCTAAGATGTCTTGTATGCGACTGCTTATGCATAAAGCACTTCTGCTCATGAGCGCTTATATTGAAAGTGTAAACATGTGAACTTTTATTATAAATTCAAGAAGCGCTATTAAGTTGTACTGTCAAAAATAGTCATAAGTGCTTTTGGTTGTCCGAACAGCGGTGACATCCTCTTGCACAAGAAATCGGTAGCAAGATCAATGAGCTGCCGGATGGATATGACATTAACTATGTGGTTAACCCTACAAATCACAAGCGTTAGAGGAAGGCAGCAGCATTGCGTGACAGTATGTAAGGCCGAAAGTTGGAGCTGCGGACTAACATGCCGGTGCTGCAGTTCTATGCAAGTAACATGTCGGACAATGTGAGGGGGAAATTAAAGGCGGATTTGTGTAAAAAATAAAAATAAAAATAAATAAATAAAAACATGCTGCGGTGTTCTTGGAGATGGTTTTCTGGATGCTGTGAATCACCCGAATTTCCTTCACAGATCACGAAAGCCGGAGAGACTTAGGGGTGGTTTGGGAGTGAGGTGCTTAAAAAAAAAGCACCCATGAAAAAAAGCTACGAGGGTTTTAGATATTTGGTAAACTGAAAAAAAAAGGCTTATTTTGGAAGCTGTTGTGAGAATAAGCTGAAATCAAAGGAAAAAGCTGAAGCTGCTATTTGCAGCTTTGGAAAACTGGTTTTTTTTTCAAAGCACACGGAGCTACAATGCTCCTTTAATAAAAAGACCCACTATCAGACTGCTTTTTTTTTTTCCAAAAGCACTTTTACAAGAAAGTTTACCAAACAATCTGCTGATTTTTTTCACAGCCGCTTATTCTCACAGCTTATTCTTACAGCATCTCTTTTTCAAAGCACAGCAATACCAAACCAGCCCTTAATCATGTTATGCCTTACAGATTTACAGCTGCATAGAGATAGCGTTTTAGAAATCGAGTAGTTGAAGAGATGTGTTCGCAAAAACCAGTCTTAGTTAATAAATTAAGCTAGGCGGAAATTTGTTTCATTATTGGTTTAACATGTTATGTTGTTAGACGGTCAACTTATGTTTAATGACTCGATTGAGTCGAAGACCTGGAATTCGGGTAGGACAGTTCAGTCATCAATCCAATAAGGGGAAGGAGTACTCACAATGCACCAAATTTGCTGGTACGAAAACCCAGCCAGAAAAGTTGATAACAAACTTTTCTCCAACAACTTGTACTAGCTACAAACAATTTGTCATGAGGATTCAGCAGGCGCATCGGTCGCAAACTGGCACAACCTGCAGAGGTTACTCGTCTCCAGCCAATTCACTATACAACTCTCGTGGTTGTTGTGCGAGCAAGGCATGCGAATCGCTTCAGAACCACGCAGAATCTCTCCCAAACATATCAAGCATTGCTTCCTGCAGTCTTCGATTTTTGACCTCTCTAACTCCTCAGTTGTTTTACTTTTTGTCCGCTCAAACTGCAACACATAATCATCAACTTGCGGTTGCTCTTGGCCCTCCAACAACTGTTCTTGTTCAATTGTAAGATGCACTACCATCTTGAAAAGTCTTCTAGATCGTGTTCTCAGGATGACCGGTGATTTCACGAGCGCGAGTAGAAATCACCTAGATCATGGAACGGCTGAACTTGGTAGGGAACAGATGCCTGTGAAAGCATGTTGGATATTACAGACCAGGATGTTGTACTTGCTGCGCATACATTCAAGCTCGCCGAAAAAACCATACATATTGATCAGGGCAGTTTGAATTATGATCTCAGAGCCAAAACCCAGTTTCAAAACCTGGTTATGTAACTGCTTCCCTTCAAGAACCAATGGCATAAGGCAGAATGCCTTGATAGCAAACTGAAGGGTATAACTGTCAACCTCCAGACCCTTGCTTCTGACATGGGAACAAACCAAAAGGGGTTCTCTTGGTTGGTTTCACGCGCCAAGTAACCTCGGATGGTGGTATTTCAGGTCTACGAATCGAGATTTTCAACTCCATTGGCGATCGAGCGGGCGGTGAAGTTTGTGGCCAGCAGGGGAATTGAGGAAAATGTGCAACGCGTCTGCTTGCTACAAAAGGCTTGTGGACGAGGCCTGTGGTGTTTATGCGTGCATGGATTTGATGGAGATGGTTTTTGTGTTTTTACCAAATGGTTTGTAGTTTGATTTGATGACGGAGGGTAGTTGAGTTTAAAGTCGATTGGGGGTTTAGAACTAGACTGAACAGACAATAAATCGTATATAAATAGATTAGATTAGCACCCTTTAATGTTTATTAAGTGTTTGTATCAAACCTAAGTCGTTTACTTTGACCAAAAAAAAAAAAAAAAAACCTAAGACGTTTACTTAGAAGTAAAAAGAAAATCACTTGACTGTAGAATCAGTAACCCACGAGATAACATTGGAGATCCCTTTTTCTGTTTCTTGCCATATCAAGAAATTCTAAGATTAAAATCTTGTTTATGTACCAAATTTTCCATAAACAAGGATGTTTGTATGGTCAATCACTATAAAACCAGAATTTGTACCATTTGACAAAATTACAAACATAGAACAGCTATCCCAAGTCTATAACAAAGCAGTACGTGAAATTCGAGTTCAATGAGCGGAGTGGGTAGCGGCAGTTGTCTTCTTGAAATCAATCTTGTCAACCTTAACCTCTCCATCGATGAGTTCGTAGACATAAACAACCACACGAAGACCATCAATGTCCATGAGGACAAAGCTCGGGTTGACATCATAGGTGATGCTGCTATAAGCGCCGCTGGCAGACCCTGGGTTTATAACGACACCTCCTTCATGTTTGTACGCGGTGAACTGATGGGTGTGGCCTGTCACAAGGATATCTACATCCAACTGCCTCTGAAGCATGGCTAGTGAGTCTAGGTCTCCCCATGGAATAACCTACAGAACATCATATCAAGTTACAACTTAATTATCGCCCAGTGAAATATGAAGATATACAAGGAAAGGAAAATCCTTGACACAGATTCTCTCATGACAATCAAATTTAAAAAGAATGTGATATGCCAAACGTAAACACCATCGCAGTACTGTATCTAATTGCCTCATTCCAAATAACCGCATGAACTACTTCCGTTCATCACAAAGGTACCAACTGTTTCAGCAACAAAACGAAAATGATATGGTAGCAGTACACCTGTTCCTATTCAAAAGAGGTACCAACTCAAAATCTTTCAGGAGCTAAAGTTCCATTTTTTTCTACTCTTGATGGACTTCTCTAGGTAGAATAAACAGATAAAGTAATGCAATTTATTATTGATCTCTTCGAACGATCACAGAACACCTTTCAAGTATTACTTATTCTTATTTTTTCCTAAACCGCAAGAAAGAGTAATATGCTTCATGCTGAAGGCATTGTGAATCTACAAATAGGAATATGATGAAGTGACATCATAAGCTTAGAAAATAACAGGAAAGGTGTCCTGGGTGTAAGGGAATGGTTTCAGCATAAGTATTTGATCCAAATAACCGGAAACGACTTGGTGTACAGAGGACAATAGATTTAGGGCTGGTTTGGTATTGCTGTGCTTTGAAAAAAAGCTGCTGTGAGAATAAGCGGCTGTGAAATAAATCAGCAGAATGTTTGGTAAACTTTTTTGTAAAAGTGCTTTTGGAAAAAAAAGCAGTCTCATAGTGGGTCTTTTCATTAAAAGAGCGCTGCAGCTCCGTGTGCTTTGAAAAAAAGCCAGTTTTCCAAAGCTGCAAATAGCAGTTTCAGCTTTTTCCTTTGATTTCAGCTTATTCTCACAGCAGCTTCCAAAATAAGCCATTTTTTTTCAGTTTACCAAACACCTAAAACCCTCACAGCTATTTTTCATGGGCAAGGAGAAGTAATGATCATCTGCTTGGTGACAGGTCAAATGCAAAGTCTTGAGGTATTAAAACATACATAGTTTTGCAATTCTCAATGACATTGATAGATAAAAATATGTGAAGAGATAAAGGGGAAGCCAACCTGGTGGCCATGGCACAGCCCTAGCTTGAACTGACCGATTGTTAGGGTTTTGGTCTCTGGATACTTTGTCTCTTCATCATACTCACCTCGAGTAATATGCAAGTCGGGACAAAGAGTCTTCAAGTAATCATGAACTTCCTGGAATTATTAGTAGCAAACTATGAGAAGTGGAATAATGTACTACCAAAATAATATGTGACCTTAAGAAACTTATTTCTATGGTAGTAGTGCTACAAGAACTAAAAGTAGATTATTAGCCATTGCATGAGCAGTTACAATACATGAAGACCAAATGAAAGTAATAGATGTTAGAGTAATAACTGGCAAAGTAATAGATGTTAGAGTAAATGTACAAATTAACCAAATGAAAGTTCTATCCAAGAATCTAGCAATAGCAAGAGGCTATATGCAGACATTACCCACTCAAGCAGTCAGTAACAAGAAATTCTTCACGTTCAAAATAAATAAACACACGGGTTGATGCCTATCTCCTATAATCGTATCCGATTGACATTGATTTCTTTAAATTATTCTTAATCCAAAGTCTACAGTGGAACATGCACGTAAGTTCAACAATAACCCACATTCGGAATGCCTTTCCTATATGCAAGATTTTACTTTCGGGCAACCAAACAGAGAAAAACACAGCAAAACTAACCCAAGGATCACTTCGAAATGGGAATTAATCGAAACCCAATAACCAAAATTGAAGGAAATCAATGAGAATCAACAGAAACACACAAAGAAACATACTTTGATACAAAGATTTCCAGTGCAGATGATGTGCTGGATCTTGCCAGGAACAAGCATGGACTTGAATTTTGCAGGCAGATCAGGTGCCCTGTGGGGTATGTGCAAATCCCCCAAGGCCAACACCAACACCATCCTCACTCACTCTCGCCACTAATCAAAACCCACCTACAAAGCCTGCCAAAAACCCCAAAAATTAAATATAAAAATTAAAACAAAGCATATGAAATCACGAGTATTCCTATTCGGATGAACTAATTAATCAGTGATTAGCATAAACTAAATACAATTAAATAACTGGGAATAAATTGAATGGGATTCAAGAGAGTTGGGATCGTACCTGAGGAATGATCTTGCAGAAAGCTTACGGCATGGAAATTGTAAAACCTCCTTCGTTGTTTGACGAGCTCTGAAATTCTTTCTTCCTCCTTAAATTTTTGTTTTTTATTTTATTTTTTCTGAGAGTACTGTTTTTTTGTCAACGGACTTTTAAAGGGTAACGGCGTCGTTTCGAGTCATAGAGCGGGGAGCCCCGGTCTTTTGGGCCTATGTTTTGAGCTTACATTACAAAAAAAAAAAACTCAAATGCCCCACCCAATAAGCATATGAAATGACAAAGATGCCCAACAAGACTGAGGCCCAGGGTTTTTTTAAATTAATTATTATCAATAGAGAGGGAGAAGATTTGAAACTGTTAAAGTTTCGAACCCGGTATGCATGAGTTAAAGTCCAACATTTTATCCACTTGGTTATTAGACCACATATCATATACACAACGGCACTAGTGATAGAGTTTTTGGGTTACAACATTTAGTGGATCAATCATAATTAGGTATTGGATTCATTATCAATATAAATTCGAACTTTAGACTTTTCACTGATAAAAAAAGAATTTGAGACCTCTCACTCATAAGATAAGGGGTTGTTTGAGTCAGGTTGTAATTTGGCTGAGCCAAGTTAATAGTCGACAAACTTGTCATTGTTTGAGCCGACCGAAGTAAGGTAGTAAGGGAAACAGAGACTACCACTAAATCGTAAAATAGTAACCAATAAGTAAATACGTATCGTTCAACAGTTTGATTTGATTTGATTTCCAATTACAATCTCTCATGGCTTTTGCCTCAACTATTTAGGAAATCAATTTTATAAACAAAAACGATTTTTCACCTGTTGGATTGTTAGGTCTTTCGCAGTAAGTCGTAACATTTTGGACAATATTTTGACAATCATATCACAAAACTAATGTTTACGCAATCTTAATCTAAGCCCTTAACGCAATTAACAATATCAGTGTGATGTACGAATTTTAAGTCATTTGATGATAAGAATGGACGAGATTGGATCTGAGAAGGCAACCAAGAACTAGCCAACTGAGACATATTAATGCGCTGATCACAATGTTTTTCAATATAATTTGAGGCAAAATGGTCCCTTAAATTGTTATTACTCCTCATTTTAGTTAATGAGATTTAAAATCGATAGAAGTGGTTCTTAAAATTATCTACCATCAATCATTTTGATCATTATGTGAAAAATCTCTTAAATTGATATTACTCCTCTTCGTGTTTTGCACATCATTGACAGAATAGAATTCAACCAAGCTGGTTGTAGAAAAAAAGTAAAATAGAAGAATAGAGACAAGAAATTAAGAAGGAAAAAAAAAGGGAACTTTAACGAAAAGTTTCTGGTACTGTTCACTTTAACGAAAACTTTACCCTTTATTTTGTCATTATCGTTAAAACTCAAAGTTTTCAAGTCTTTTTCATTAGTTTTCCTTAAAAAAATAAGGAAGAAGAGAGAGCAGCGCGCGGTAGAAAAAATGAAAAAGATAAGAGAGCAGCTCTATTGTTTTTTTGTTCATGGCAAAAAGGGTATTTTGGTAATTCAAGAAAAAAATGTGAGGTTAGTTTAGGTATAAAAATTTTCATTCCAGTTCTGCCTTACCTTATCCGACCTCCTCCCTTCGGAATTCAATTTCTTGAATATCAGGAATGTGATTCCTAATTTATGGAGGAACCTGCGACACTTTTCATTCCTCATCGAGTAATAAACAATGGGTTCATCAGGAACACATTCTCATTCTCCTTATCTGAACACACCCAATTTAGTCATGCAACACTAAAGAACCCTAATTCTTTTTCTTTCCTTCTTTTGGGATGAATGCAGCTCTTTTCCAACTTGAACTATATTATATATACAAGTTTATCTTTTAATGGCACTATTATTGAAGTATATATTAATTAATTAAGTGAAAAGTTTTGATTCGATTTGTATACATAATGATGGAGTATATATAATATTGACTGAAATTTATGATAGACTCAATGTGTAGCTTACTAGTAAAAAACAAAGGTTATTAACCATAATTCTAACCATTATCTGATATGAGAAAATTTTCCATATATGGTACCTAACTCATAAAAAAAGGCATGGTGCCTTGATTTTTTTTCCCTAGGCCCACATGATAAAATATTAAAATCAGATTCATGCTAGAGGATCATATTTCAGAGCAGTTCATGCATTAGAACCGCGCAGTGATGGATATTGATGGCAAAAAAATGTGGTCATTATAAAATATGTAATGTAACATGTAGGGTTTAAATTGCAAAACCACCACGGTTCATGCATTCTAATTTTGTGAGATATTTCAGTTTGATTGAAATATGGGACGGCACTTTATATGTTATTATACTATTAAAAAATCACTTGAGAAACTTTTCTTTAATTATGTGTTATGTGACATATCACTATGTATTACAATCACACTAAAAATATCTCTCCCTAATTTTAGCCCCAACACAAGTCCCAATTATCTCATACGGAAAACCAAGCTAGCGTACGTACGTGAAACGCCTGAGCCAAAGTTCATGTGTGGCCAACTGGCCATGGCAACTAATTCTTCCACCTTTGCTGTACTCGTACAGTATGGATTCGTTGTGACCTGTTTGGGACTGAACCTGAGTCGCCGGCGTGATTAACGAACCATAAATCTATATTAATAAAGGATATTTACAAGCTAATAGTACTATCACACCAGCCCGTGATCACCATGAAGAATGCATGGTTGAATTTTCTTTCTTTTGATTTTTTTTTTTTTTTTTTTGACCATCATACCATCATGTGGTATAAATATAATATGTTCTATATTGATAAAGGATATTTACAAGCTACAGTACTATCACACCAGCCCATGATCACCATGAAGAATGCATGGTTGAATTAATTTTTTGAATTTTTTTCTTTTGATTTTTTTTTTTACTATCATACTATCATGTGGTATAATTATTTTATTTATAACTAAAATCATACTCTTAAGTTCATTAGGTATCAACCATATCTTATATAACACATAAATTAATAATATTATATAACCACTTTTGAGTAATTGGTTCGTTATTAGTGAGTAAAATACTGAGCCACTCAACATGCTTATTTTCTAGGGAACTTTAACGAAAAGCATCTGGTACTATTCACTTTAACGAAAAACCACATTTTTACACTAAAAAGTCAATCCTTGTACTATTCACTTTACCTTTTATTTTGTTCTTATCATTAAAACTCAAAGTTTTCAAGCCATTTTCATTAGTTTTCCTTATTTTCTATTGATAACACATAATTTGTTTTGTAAATTTAGTTTAAAAAGGTCTGCCTATCATTAGTCGAAGTATTATAATTGTCATCGAGCAAAAGTTTCTCTCTGACCCAAGAGTCAAAAATTGCGTTGATATACCCTATAATATTGGGATTACATAAGAAGTTAATGTATAATTGTCGTCATCACGAATTCCACGCTTGTGCATACAAAGTCAATACTGTAGCTCTCTCTCTCTCTCTCTCTCTCTCTCTCTCTCTCTGAACTACATGGTTATTTTGGTTCCATGAGTATGTATGTATAAACAAGTTATGGATATTGGATCAGGCATGACTGGCCTGAAGATATATGTTATCTAGCTAGCTATGTGCATTACCAGTATATCGTTAGCGGAAGAAAAAGTCAAATGTTGCTTGCTTATCTCAGCTTCTTTGCTTGTTTTCAGAAGTTGCACCCCATGCCATTCTCCAATTAAAGAACGGGCCTTAATTTTACTTTCCAATTTGCATACGTAGTTGCATAACATTTTTCATATACTGGAAGAGTTCAAACTAGGGAAACGATTGTCATCCACATACATGTTTAATTCAGTTTTTTGATTGGGTATAAAGTAAAGGAGAATCAAATGAAATAAATAAACAGATTTGATAAAAGGAGAAAAATGGTGCATAAATCATTTTCCTTCAGAATATATTCCAAACGAATTAGCTTATGTTTGTATCAATTAATTAGTTCGATTCCAAATGCTACTTATTTTTAGCTTAATTGTCGGACGAACGAGAAGCATGCATGCCAAGTAATATCCACATGAACTAAAAGATGAGACTCTAAATAAGAAGACTGATCAAGTCCATTTATTATATCAACTCCATAACACATTACTATAACTTAGCAAAAGGATTCTCTAGACCATCATAGTTTATAAACCTTCTGAACAAAAACCCTAGAACGATAGCTAAGGACCAGATGAGAGAAGAAAAACGATGCCTATTACATAAACTGGTGACGACGATACTCTACTGGTGAATTAATCATAGTGCCCTTAATCAATTCCTTCTACTGCAAAAGTAAGCTCCTGATTACAGCAGCTTGGGCAGTGTCAGTTGTTGCCAATAACTCGGACAGCCGCTCACTTAGATCGTCCACCTCTCTGTGCAAGTTTCTAATGTAGTTGCACGTTTCTTGTAGCACTGTGGATGCTGAAACCTGTGTGCATATGTAAATGACTTTGATTAGCATGATATATCACATTCTTTTGACTTGAATTAGCACTGTAAAGTATAGGTTAACTCATTTCAACTTCCAATGCCAAAATTTGTTAGAAAATTTTACTAAGAAAATAAATTTCCCGGATATATATATATATATGAAACGATCTCACACTCAAATCTCTACCTTTTTCTTTTGTTAAACGAGAGGGTTTCAAACCATGGACCTAACATATTCTTATCCATCATTCTGCACAGTTAACCTCACCACTAGGATACCGCCAATAGCTTGCAGTAAATGTTCTACTTTATCTCTTGATCAAATAGTAAGATAAGGACATAACTAAAATATTATAGCGGCTACAGGACCCCAGTAAATGCAAACTTGATGCATTACCATCATTATTTGTTTTACCATTTTTGCTTTTCTTTGGATCTAGAGCAAGGAAAACCCCAGAAGTTTCTTCGATTATATTATTTTTCCTCTTTCGATAGTGATCTCATATGCAAGAGAAGCCAAAACCTAAGAGAAAACAAAGGATGAAAAATATTCATAAATAATGAAAAAGATAGATATGTCTATATACCTTGTCAGAACGTCTACTATTGCGAATCTCAGGAAGAAGCTGTTGCAACTTGGAAACAAGATCATTAATCTGATCGTCGGAGATTCTTGAGCCACCTGATTGCCTAGATCTTGACCTTCGGCTAGACATAGCTAGGTGTGTGAATTGGTAATATTAAAGGTGTATGTGAAATGTAAAATACTTAAAGATCGAGCAGAAAACTGATGTTAACTCAAGGGGACAAATGGGAAGGAATTTATATGGGTCAGAAAGTGTGGCAAGAGAACCAGTGTTGAAGACAAGTTATGGAGCTATGTTTCTGGTATTTTAGAGAGAGAGAGAGAGAGAGAGAGAGAGAGAGAGAGAGCAAAAATAGAAGCTGTTGGATGTTAGGTAATGTTGAAGACAATTGCATGAGAGAAAGGGGTGGGCTAAGTCTGTATTTATATAGGGTTTTGGAGAGGAGAGAGAAAGAGAAAATCAACTCATCAAGTTGCTAGAGATACGCCATAATTAATGTCCCTGCATCTTGTGTTTTGCAAATTTTGGATCTCTCAAGTGAACTTCGTTTCACGTCTTCATGTATGACTGTCTGTGAGAAATAAATTTAAAAAAGAGAGAGCTAGAGATGTATGTATTGTAATCTGTAAATACAAGAATTTCAAGAGAATTGAAAAAGTTAGGGTGGCACTTTAAAAAAGTTATTGTACACTTCAATTTTTTTTTATTTAGAAAAAATATATATACAGTTATATATAAAAAAATATAAAATAAATTTTTTTTGATGTGCCATTAACATCTCCTTAAAGTTAAATATGACTTAATTGTATAGCTACATTGCTATTTACAAGGAAACTTTTTATGATAAAACATCTTCCTTATAGTGTTGTATAATTTTCAAAATTTTAGTTGAAAAATAATATCAGTACGACTAACATTTGTCTTCGCGAAATCTAGTTATATATAAAAAAAATCCAATATTATGATATTTTATTTGTTTAATTAGTATGTGAATAATAGAAAATGTAAAGAAAGAAAAATAAGTGTGCTGGATCAATGTTGTGTCTTGTGTGTATATTGTGCAATGTGTGTGTGAGATTGAGGAACAGCCAAAAGTAGGGCTACGTGATGAACGGTCTTAAGTGTTGACCAGTCAAAGTGATGAACAAACCAACCATGTTCAAGACAGATGACATGGCGCCATGTGTCATCACTGAACCTAACTGTTACACCGACCCTGACTCCTGGGCATTGCGATTCATGACTTCATTATATGCTATATATGCTAATTGCAAGTCATATTGTATGATAAAGTTTGTGGTGAGATCACTATACACACTATGATCCTAGCTAGTTGATGCAAGAATATTGCCAAGTTAAACAACAAATTTTGTTCCTACTACACTGTTTCGAGTTTTGAGCTATTGATATATTTTTTTCAGCTAATGTTAGGGAGATCACCTATTTAAACTGTAATTTGAAAATCATATGATGTGGTTGTTGATAAATGAATTATTACTTAAGTGTTGATTAATGTGCATATTTTTTATTGGTGACACATCGCATAATTTGCAAATTTGATCTAAAAATTTGATTTACCTGCATTGCACTATTTAAGATGGATTGATCTTTGCTATCGTGCCTCTTCCTTGTACAAGTTAATGATGCGGGAGTGCCTATTATGAGTTTGCTCCCATCGAGTACAAAGGTTTGAATCATTGAACTTTTCCGTATTGGTAGTTCGTTTTTTATTTTTTATTTTTTATTTTTTCAAGAGTGTTGGAGATCGGTTGTTTAAGGAGTGTTTCTCTACACTCATACTTTCGAGTTCGAAATTCCTTTCTTAGGATCGCTTATATGAAAATAGAAAAACTTGCCCATGCACATGCAACAATTAACTCTGAAGCACATTGATACATAGATATATATATATATATATATATATATATATATAAATAGAAAAACTTGCCCATGCACATGCAACAATTAACTCTGAAGCACATTGATACATAGATATATATATATATATATATATATATATATAGTATCCAATTTGATTTTGATGATCTTGATGATGGCATTGCTCTTCTGGTGATGCACAAGCGCACTTGCTGTGGAATCTTAATTTTAATATACTAATCATAAATAGTACATTCATAACCAAACAAATAATATATTATATATATGGATGCAGAAATATAATCACACTTAGTGATCGAGAATAAAGATCTAGCAAATTTGTAGTAGTTTTGATCAATATTTATAGAGATGTATATATATAGACAAACTGAACATGATTTCCCCAAACACGTGCTTGTGATGATCCAGTCCAATTAATATAGTTGTAAGGCTACTGGAAAGTTGACCAATTAAGTATGCATAAATTTTTTTGTAAACAAAGCAATTAAATCTATAAATATACCTGGAAGGTCCTGAAAAATCTCTAAACTTAAACAAATGTTCATAACAATTACTTCCTGCAGGGTCAATATATATATTATCCACTTGCAACATAGTATTAGTATGTAGAACAGAAGCACCAAAAATATCCCCAGCATGTATAGTGGTCCCCAATATACATTTTTAGCTATAAGCCTTTCATTATTTGCTTTGCTTGCTTGAGATTTATGATTTGACGATAACCCTAGAGAAATAAGTTACGAGTTTAACTTATCTAAAAAGGAGATTTGAGAGTCGGACTTATAGCCGCTTTTAGTAAATTAACAATCAATATTTATGAGTGACTTCTTTTCATGATTTTTTACGAGTTAATGTTCATGTTACATTGCAAAAGTTAGTAAAGAAAACTCCAAATAATGCCTTTCATTATTTGTTTGTTTGAATAAGACCTAAATCTTAAACCCTAATTTAAGGTGCAAAGACGAAAAGTTTAGCTAACCCTAGAAGAATAAGATATAAGATTAGAACTTCACTATAAAAGAAGAAGAACAAGAGTTTAACTTTTCGCTATTCGTAGCAACAAGTCCTGAAATTTATTAAAACCAATGCAAATTAACATTCGACTTTCATACGAGTTTAAATAATTAGACGCTAAAGAAGTTTTATTGCCATGTGATGTGAGTCCAGCAAACAAACTCCTGAAGTATCTAAAAACGGGACACGACAAAATGGAAAACAAATGTACATACATCAGCACACAGAAAGAAACAAGCAGCAATGATCGATGCAGCTGCTTGATTAGATGATTAAAGTTTAGGTGGATGTTAATAATATATGCTTGGTGGGAATTTAAACAAGTGACCAGTGATGAGAAGACCTAGGGCTCAGCGTGCATCTCGCAGGCACATGACCTTGAGATCCAATGGACAGCGAGGACTGTGCTCGAACCTCATTTCTTAATTAATTAATCATAATTGTTTATGTTAGGACTTCCAAACCCTAGTGATTCCAATTTCCAGTGGGCTGCTGTTTTCAGATTGTGTTTATATACAGTTCAGTCTGAGACTCCAAGAAAGATATAGTGATACTCTTTAGTCTCTTAGCATATGCTTTGTAGTTTGGAGTCAGTACTATCTCCTTATATTATAATTTAAGCACATTATCTGCTAGCTCATGTAGATGTACTTTTTCATGTCTTAATTATTATTATGGTTAGTATTTATTTGTCAAAAGATACGGAAATGAAACAACACAGAACTTCATGTGCAAAAATAATCATTTTTAACTATTTGAGCTTCAAGTTTCTTACATGTTACTTATTTAATTGAGATAGATATATATTAATTCATCAAAGTCCCACTCTCCAATTAAGTCGGTGAAGGGTAGGCTTAATTAAACTATTTTTAAGCCTAGGTGAGTTTGATTGAGCTTTAACAGACAGTCCAAGTTAACTGATTAACTTACCAACCAGATGGGTTTCAGGATAATTAATTCAGAAATTAGTAGTTTAGTACGTGTGATTAGCGATGCACATTCTTTCACATCTATATATGTTAAGCAAATAATTAGCTATATGTCCGTCTATATATATACCTCATCCGACAACTAGCACTAAAACCATCATAATTCATGAAATATATACTATAAATTAACGTCTATATAGTGGTAAAATTCTATAAAGAAATAATTTTTGTGTAGTCATAAAAATTACGGTTCCAATTAAGACCAACTATTAAAATAAACTTCACATTGTAATAAGTTATAAATTTTTTAGGTTTCATTTTAAGAAACTTGCCTCCACATAGTAATAATTATTAAAGTAAAAAAATATGCATTATTGTTACAGCAAAAAATTTAGAATAAATAAAATATTTTAGAGATTAATCTCTATTTTCAATGTTTCATATTGAAAATTATTGTAAAATAAAAAAATCATGAAAATGTGCATGTTTCGTTGTGTGGTTATTTGTATCCATACAAAGGATAATTATAAGTAAAAAAAACTATATTCTTTTTAACTACACCTCCATATAGTTATAAATTTGGTTTGGTCCAAACATTATTGTAAGATCTCACATCGTCTAGGGGAGTGATCCTTATATGTATATTCTCATCCCTACCTAGCACGAGGCCTTTTGGGAGCTCACTGACTTCGGGTTCCATGGGAACTCCGAAGTTAAGCGAGTAGCGCGCGAGAGCAATCCCATGATGGGTGACCCACTGGGAAGTTCTCGGGTGAGTTCCTATAAACAAAACTGTGAGAGCGTAGTCGGGACCCAAATCAGACAATATCGTGCTACCGTGATGGAGCGGGCTCGGGATGTGGTGGACCCCGGGCCTGGATGCGACAATTATGACTATATAGAGATTTTATTGTAGCATCTCTGGCGGATTCTCTAAACGAGCTTCTAGCTAAAATTAGGGAGAAATTAAAATAAAAATAAAAATCATCTCCAATTCCACTCCTTATCCAACTTTAGCTAACGATAATTGGAAGAGATCCATGGTATATCAGGCCCTTTAAAGTGAATGATCCCTATTTTTATAAAAAACAAATGGAGATTAGTTGTTGAGATCCAACTTTAGCATCTCCGACGGTTTAGATCGTTGAAGTTCAATGTGGTGTTGACCCCACAACTAATCCCCATTTTATGAAAAATGGGGATCCCTTTCCTTAAAGAATCTGTATACACACACACACACACTTATAGGAGGCCTTGAAGGGAAGAAATCTTCATTTTTATAAATATATAAATAAAAATAAATAAAAAAACACAAAGATTAGTTGCAGGGCTCACTCCACATCGAACTTTAACGTTCTAAACAGCCTATTTTTCAAGTTACACCTCATCGATCATCCTTACAAAATATTAGCCAAATCGAAAATATTTGAATCTTCTAATTGAGTTCAGATAAATTGACGACCACTTAATTCTCTAAGAAACATTGAAATTTCATTGTTATAATTAAATAGGCACATAGTTCTGGATTGAATTAAACTTTTTGTAAGGAT